TCACCTGATAAATTTCAAAGGTACTATCTCTGTCCATTAATGGAACCGACACTAGCACTAGCAATTTATCATCTTCCAGCAAGGTAGTACATCCCAAGGCACTATAATACCTCCATAACTGCTGGGTGGGGGTCTACAGGTAATTTAAGATGATGGGGTAGCTTGGCTTGTATCTCCAGTAGTACTTCCCTTAATCATTCTGGGGTTATTATACTCGGAGACAGGTGTCCCAGCGACAGCATGTCTAATTGTGCTCTCACATGTTCTAACAACACCGTTAAAAAGTGACTTGTTTGATGTACCTTACTCATTATAGCTAATAATTTAAAATACCTTTGCAAAAACCCCTCTAATTTCTGTAATTTGGTTGTTACAGACGTGGTTACATTTATCACTTCTTTTCTAAAAACCTGTAGGTGAGAAATCAGCCAATTGATACTCCCTCTATTCTTAGCCAATTCTAGCCAAGTAACATTGAGTATAGATACACTCTCTCTAACCAACTGAGCCATTGCTTGTTGTCTCTGTTCTACCACCTTTAATTTCCTCTTAATTACTCTTACTTCGCCTTCGGGAACTGTACCAAACAACACACTTAATGCCTTTCCGATTATAGGTAATACCGCCCTCTTTTGCCTGGTCCGTAACAAATTTAATCCTTTCAAATAGTAACTCATATCCTCCCGTTTTCTCAAGTATTAGGGATTCCTGAGCTAAGGGGTATAATATACAGTGGTATTCCGGAGTCTGTAAATATTCTCCAGTGACTTGTGTCCTGGCTGTATCTAGTTTGTCCACTTCAGTCTTCAACTGACCCAGTAACTTCTCATACGGCTACAGGTCTATCAAAGTTATCAACCACTTTGATCTAGTTATAATCACTTCGCTAGCCTTCTTAAATACAGTATTCTCACTGTGTTCCCAGGTATTAGCTACCACAACTATCATCGTCAGTACCATGAGCCTCCTCTTGTCCATGTCTGCAAGGAGATGGAGAGAATAATTCGTCTTACTCAATCATTCTCTTATTGTTTTTATCGGGTGGTTACATCTTAGAGCGATACCTCAAGCACTGACCCACACCACCACCAGCGCCGTGCATGTATGTGGCCCGTCCACACAGCTCACCAGCACTGATGATAAATGCACAGTTAGTCCCAGACCGTCATTCATTCACCACAGCCACTGTACTGGTTTCACTTAATCTTTGGGCTTGGGCCGCACCGCCAATCGCAGTTTTAGTGCATTAACACTAGGTGCTCTTTCAGCCCACAATTTACTATGCAATTGAGCTAACAGAATTTGATCCTCTTCTTCCCATTCACTCAGTTTTTCTTCGGCTCAATCCCTGTTTCCTCAGAATGTCCCGCTGGTGTCCGATTTACCTCCCTCAGTCTTTGAAGGGTAGTTGGGCTACTTTCAATCTCCTCACTCCCTTCACTCTCAGTCTCTAACCCTTCAGGTTCTACCAATGTAGTTTTCCTCAGCTTTTTCTGTTGAGTTTTTGTTTTGGTTCCTTTCCATTCTCCTATTTCAGCCAGCTTTACCTGCATGCACTCTCTTTACCTGTCCAGTCAATTGGTCCCAGATCACAAAGGAAACCAGACCCATCTGCTTCACGATCCTATAGTATGGACTCCATCTCTAGTCCAATTTACCTTCTCTCAGGTGTATTTTATAATACACTGGATCACCTATCTGGAAGGAAACTTCTCTATTTTTGTTTACCCTATTGTTTTGCCTTTTCTGGGCTCTTTGAATCCTCCTCCTTCTCACCTGCGTAAAAATTTTATGCTGTTCTAAAACTATTTGGTGATGATCCTCTCCTAAATACTTCCTCCTAGGTCGTAACAGATTGTCTATAGGTAAGACTACATCCCTGCCATATATCAATAAGGGAAAATTTTGTCTTCTTCTTCACGCGACAATCTGACTGCTATTAATGCTTGGTTACAAATAAATCTCAATTTTCCCTATTATCCTCTGTTAGTTTAGATAACACATCAGCGAGGGTCTTATGAAATCTTTCTACCTTAGCGTTACTTTGGGGTGATATGGGAGGTGGCTATGTGCTGTATGTTTAATTCTCCCAACGTCTCTCTCATAATCTGATTCACATTCTCCAATCCATTATCGGTAACCAACTGTTCGGGGGCTCCATACCTAGGGAATATTTCGTTCAGTATTATATCTGACACCGTTTGTGCCTTCTTATCCAGTATGGCAAATGCCGCAGGCCAATTCGTCAGCCAGTCCACAAAACTCACTATGTAAAGATTACTTCTATTTGTTTCTCCATAGGCCCGGAAATATCCATGCTTACTTTCTGAAATGGATAATTCGGAACATCCGTTTCTAATACTGGGGCAACCCTACACCTTCGACTCTGTACTTGGCATGTTACACATTTTTTTACATGGTTCACAACATCATTAAACAACTTAGGCCAGTAGTAATTTCTCATTATTAATCCATACATCTTATCAATTCCCAGGTGTCCCTAACCTCCATGGCATTGGTCTAGAATTTCAGCTCTCAACTTCTCAGTTATCACCATTTTTAAACTTACTTCCTCATCTCTTCCTGAAAGGTAATACAACACTCCATCATGCACCATATATTTGGAGGTATGCCCTGCCTCTACCCTGGACCTGATAGTTGCTATCTTGTTATCCCCTTGGCTTTGCTAATAAAATCATTCAGTGGGGGTTGGAAACAATCTTCGTTTCACTCATTTCCTGATCTTCCCAACCAAGTCTCTCCTTCAACGCCTATGAATTGATCACATTAATTTGGAATGCTTTATCATCCACACCTGGCTCCAATCTGACAGATTTGGTCTCTAATTGCCCCGGAATCCACGATAACAGGTCAGCACAGGTATTATCCTTCTCTGACAAATATTCTATTCTGCAGTTATACCCACTTAACTTCAATGCCCACTGTTGTATCTTCTTATTCATTCACTCTGCCTCTAACAAATATTTGAGGGGTTTGTGGTCTGTTTTAATGGTAAACACAGCCCCACTCAAATAATAATCTAATTTCTGCACAGCATACAGAATGGCGAACGCCTCTTTTTCTATTACTGGCCACCTTTGTTGAGTCTCTGAGAGCCGATGAGACAGAAAATAGATCGGCACTTCCTCAGACACACCGGATACTATTCCATTCTTATCGGGACATGATTGTGTAAGAACCGCCCCGATGCACTTATCGCTAGCATCGGTGTACAGCACCATGGACTTACTCAGGTCTGGGTAGGCCAACCAACAACTGTCAGCTGGTCCTTTAGAGCCTCGAATGCACGCTGACAATCCTCGGTCCACTTAAACCAAGCATGCTTCTTAGTTAGAGCTATTAGAGGGACCTGCTAGCCAACTAAATGCTGGTATGAACCTCGGTAATATCCAATGGCTCCAATAAATCTCCTAATCTCTCTTACGGTCTTCGACGCAGGCATGGCTCTTATAACCTCTACTTTGTCTAAATCCATTTTTATTCCTTCTTTGTTTATGATAGACCCTAAATACTTTGTCTCTTCTTTTAAATTGACACTTTGATAATTTTAACTTTAATCCATGTTCCCTTAACCTATCGAACACCTTCTGCAGATGTTCAAAATGTTCCTTCGGTGATTTTGAAAACACCATGATGTCATCTAGATACGCCATGGCAAATGCCTCAGTGCCATTCAATACGATGGACATTAACTGACTAAATACACCTGGGGCGTTTACTAGCCCAAATGGCATAACTCTAAAATGAAGAGAGCCATGTGGCAGGTAAAAGCGGTCTTTTCCTGATCATTTTTGCTAAGTGCTACCTGCCATTATCCCGACCTCAAATCCAAGGTGGAAAAACATTTAGACTCTCCTAAAAGAGCAATAATATCATCAATCAAGGGAAGGGCACTGCCAGCAGTTTTGTAATGGCATTTAATTGACAAAAAACCACACAAAACCTAAGCACTCCATCCCTGTTTTCAACAATCACTATTGGAAAACTCCATGGAGATTTGGATCTTTCGATTATCCCTGATTCCATCATTTTATTCAATGTGTCCCTACTAATTTTCTTTTGTGGATTGGGGTCCTATACGGTCTTAAATTAATAGGTGGGTGATTACCCTTGTCTATCTTCATTTCAACTGTCCCCGTCTGTCCCAGTTCCTTATCAGTAATGGCTATTACCTCCTGATTACCATTCAACAACCCCTCAATTTTCTCCTATAACGCTCAGGAGCTGTTATATCTTCATCCTTATTTCATCGCTACCTGTCTTATTCCCAAGCCTATTCTCATTCAATACTCTCACTGGGCACGCCTGTGCCAGCTCCTCTCCCTGCTTTATTTTAATAGTTTTATTGGGAGTATTGGTAAGGTAACGGTCCCCGACCTCTTCACCAACGAATCACACATGGTTATTTCCCTTCACTATTATCATACCTATCAGTAGGAACCACATACAGTAGTACCCTAGGGGAAGCTTTATATCAGTCTGGGCCACCACTGACAATTGTTCATAATTATGCTCTCCCAACAGTATCCCTACCCCGTCCAATGTTAGGGTGGCGGGGTCAAAACGAATCTGTGTCTTATTTCTGCCTAAGCCAGTCCTCCGCATAAAAATTAGCTCACCACACAAGTCATACCCTCTATCCTCATCCTGCTACTATCAGCCTGACTTATTAGTAGATCGACGGGACTAAGCTTCGTTTTCAGTCACAACTGTCTAAAAACCTTGGAGCTAACCAGTGACACTGAAGTTCCAGTATCGACAAGGGCCTTCACCTTCTTGTCACCCAGCAACACATTACAGGTGAAGTCTGACCCTTCTTTCAGCAAACGGTATACCTGTGCCATTCTCCTTTCCGTATGTTCTCTCCCTTCCTCCCGCTTTCTTGACAACCGAGACATAGGAGTCGGTGACAGGAGTTCACCTTTTTCTAGGGGCTCCAATTTCTGCCTAGGGGTCCTCCTAGGTGGGGTAGAGCTCGGATGACTCTCTTTTCTCGGACTAGCAACCCATTTCTCCCCTCCATTAAAGTTAGGGTTGTTCCGTTCGGTATGGTTCATCTTTCTCCTGCGAGGACAGGTTCGTCTCAGGGGACCCGCTCCTCCACAGCGCCAACACCTTTTGCTCCTTACAATTGGCCAAAAAGTGCCCGACCACACCACACGTCCAGCATTTCAGAGGTCTTACTTGCACTGGAGCCACCCTGTCTCTTACTTTTTCACGGGTGACCCATCGGCGTTTCCCGGACCCTTTTCCTTCTCGGTAGGGGGCACCAGCGTATTAAATCGCTTTATCCCCAGTTTACGGTCTCCCACTGCCGTACACCACCGAGCCTTGTGCCCGAACTCACCACAAGTCGTGCAGTCTGGCCCCAAAGACCTTGGGTCGCTTCCATAGTTTATCGGACAGTCGCGGGCCCGATGCCCACCATACTTGCAAGTCCAGCACAAGTCCAACACACCAGCCCAAAACGCAAAATGCAGATCCCAGGCTCTCCTATTGGGAACTGCCTCAGCCTTCCAGTCCTCTTCCACCTCTTCTTTCGGGTCCCGTATTTGGATCCACTCCCGGTCTTTCTTTTCATCACTACCTTGCCCCCCGTGGGTTCCTACCTACACCCCTCTTATTTGATCCCAGAGTCGCTCCAGCTTGAGAGCCGCCTCTATGGCTGCAGCCAGGCTGACCAGTCCCCCCTTCAGAACATCGCCCCTCAGAACTTGGACACCTGCCCCGCTGCGGCGTCGTAAGCTAGGAGCACCATTTCTTGGCCCAAGAGGCCATAGATTACCTGCTTCTTCTGAATGGACAGAATCGATTCATGCAGGTCCGCAGTGTTTCCTTTATAAGTAGGTAGTTCATGCTACCTATCAGCCTCCTGAAACCCATCGATATTTCAGGGACTCCCCGTCCCCAAGGTCATCTGTTAATATTATGGTAGTTATTGTAAGTACATTGTCATTGAGAATATCGAGATATTTATCTACAGTAATCCTATCATTAAGAGTGATGATAGAACCAGAAGAATACCAGAAAATTGCCATTCGAATCATTACTGAGCTACCTCCATGTTTGACTATCAGGACAATGCAATCCGGATCATAGGCTTCACGCGACGTTCTCCAGACATAAGCACGCCTATTTGTAGGAAATAACATGAAAGAAGATACATCAGACCAAATAACGATTTGACGTTGAGTGAATCGCGAGTATCATCCACCGGCTAGGAGGTCAACTCAGGTCAACCCTGCACCTAGCTTCCCTGATTGTCTGGTGCGAAACTGAGTGCAAAGCGTATTATCTGTCATAAGAGCAACTGCTAGAAGAGGACTATATCAATTAAATATTGTGGATCTAATGTGTTAGACTGACATCCAAAAATAAATGCCCTTAAGTAGGCACAGCAGCTACTATAAAACTAGGATCTGGATGATTTAGTTGTTTGCTGTATTTTTAAGTTATGTCAATATATAACGTCTTTCGGTACCACCTACACCCGTTGGTGTAACCATGTTTTGGTGGTCTGGTCCTCAGGGTCTTATAACAACGTTTTAACCACACGGCTAACTATGCGCTGGTCAATGCCGACGTTGGTGCAGGCTGGTTGTTGGTCTCTAGCCGTTTCGATTCACACCAACTCTACTAACGCAGTGTTCTTGATCTCAAAGTAGTGGGAAATCGAAGGTCGCAGTCACGCAGTGTGTATTCAAGTCGTGATGGGAGCTATATTAAAAAAAAAATATCTTCGCGACAAAAAATAAAACTTTCCGAGGAGCTGGGTTCAAAGACTTGGAATCAGGAAATCTGGCGGTCAGATGACGTGGATTTCAAAGGCACTGAGGCTCTCAGCACAAAGTCAGCTACTTATATGAACTTCGACCTAAAACTGGCGTGGGGCCGAAGGGTTCTGGGGATTCGGTGATTCCGCAATTTTCATTAATAATTCATTGGAATAATTCCAATAAAGGTTTTCTTTGTTCCCTATTTCTGCTGGCTTAATCAACTTTCCAAATTTGGAAAATTATTCACCTTCCTTGGGAGTAGTCACAGGAATTGCTCCTCTCTTAACTCCAACCTACTTCACTTCACATCTCGAACTACTAATCTGCACAGGTGGGACTAAATACTGCCCCCTCACTCCTTTCTTCTCGGTATTCTCTGCCCATTTCTCACGGCTGACATAACAATCTTTATGACAAATCTAATTTTTAAAGTGCGTAGAAGAAAGGGCGTGATTTATTCTCATTAATTTCAATTCTCTCACTTCTTTCCTGGACCCACATCCAGCAAAAATACAATCTAGATCACCTTCTCATTTTAACCTTCCGAACGATAGATAAAAATATTTCCCAATTTATTTTTGTCAATGAAAATGTACTTGTTTACCTAAATTCTCATCAAATAGACACACTGTTTTTCCATTCTTGGGCCGGTTGCCGTCTTAATGAAAACATAAACTAGATTACCTGCCTGCTATGACGGATCGATTTTCATAATTCTAACCCTCGCATCGGGTTCATTCTCTTTTCACTTCTCAATACGTTTTCGCTAATGAACATGTAATTCCCGCGTGCTTCTCTTTTCGCCAATGACATGTGTTTTTCTAATTTCCCAAGAAAGCGATAAAGCCATTTCCCAATTTGCTTTACCCTCGTGCCAGATTTTCGATAGATAAAAAAGTAAACTCTCGGTGCATCACTCCAATTCGTAAGGACGAGGCAACCTATGTGGTCCTTTCTTCACTTCCACATTGGCAGGGAAAATGTTTTCCATTCTCTCTTTTTATCTCTCTATCTACCGGTTTGGGCTTAACCCCACTTCTGTTTAGAATTAATGTTTAACCACCTCACAGCTTCAGTGTCACAAATAAGCAAACTTATTCAAGGCTGGAAAGGTATAATCATTTGAACTGCTCCATTCGAAGAAAAGCATTTAGTTTGTTTTTGTTGAAATAAGACGCATCGGTGTATAAAATGAACATTTATTTAGAAAATAAAGTTTTGGAAAATAGCTACAGTCGTATTTGAATATTTTATTAAACAAAATACCGCTACTTTAAAAATTAGTATAAACTGTTCTAAACGCAACAGAACTCAAAACATCAAAATAAGAAATTGCCGCAAATGAAAAAAATAACTGCTATTTTGTTTATTTTAGTTTGATTCAAAACTTACAAAATCCTTATTGCATTTTTTTGTGGAGTGGAGGAGGAAGAATCAGACATTTCATTATTGGACCAATATTATGATAAAAGAAAACATCATTCTCGTTCTTATCCATTCAGTTACTGATATCACATTTCTTAAATAATTTAATCACTTATTTCTTCCCACAAATTATTCACCCATACACACGTGAAAAATGTCAGTTTTTCCTTCTATTCAATAAGAGTTGTAGTAAAATCTTCCAGTTATACCATTCCTCCCTCATTTATGTATTAAAGGTTTTTTAAATACAAACATCAAGAGTTTACAAATGATCTAGAAACGTGGCTGTTCAACACAAACTTCAGCCCTGATTTGTTAAGAATGACTGGATTAAGTCAAATATCTGGCAGATACACCATAGCTCTTGAGCTTGTGAAGAAGGCCAGCATGTCAAACTCTGTCAAATGCCCTTAAAATATCCAAACCTACAGCCTGAGCCTCGTCATTCTTGTCTAAAGCCTGATAGACAAATTTAGTAATAAAAGCTGAACATATTTTAGATTATAAGAATACTTCTTCTTTTTTTTTGCAAGTGAATATTGCATTAATAGTCTTTTTGGACATCAGTGGTAACAGTGATCTTTCCAGATACAAGTTTTACTATTTAGCCCATAGCAGTAGGATTTGAATTGTAAACAGAAATAATTAAAATGTTCATCCAAAATGGCAAAGGTTTTTTGTGATTTTTTTCGCTTTATTTTGATTCAAATTTTGTAGGAATCAATCAAGTTTAAAACATTAAAAATAAATGTATCAATTTCTATTTCTGGTTGGCAATTATTTCAAATGAATATTCATCAAAAGATTAATACTTTTTAATGTTGATCTTCAGCTTTTTGAAAAAGATTCTAACTTTTGTAAACTGACATCAAAAATCTCATTGTGGATTTCAGCAACCAATTTTATTCTTCTGTTTCTGATAGAAATGAAAATCAATATCACCAGAAATCAGAGTTGTTGATTTTTCCTAAATCCTATGAAAACACGGCCAAAAAGTAATTAACCAAAAATTAATTTCACTCTGGTCAAATTAGAATTAACAAATTTATCACTTTTTTGAGAAATCAATTAAATTCAGATTACTGGAGTTCATGGAAGTTCTTTAACCAACAGACAAGTGGAATTTCCATGCAGATAGAAAATAAATTCATATTTGGTAAAACTTTCGAATGAATTCACTTTGACAAGACCTAAAGTCGGTATTTAACAAATCAGTTCTTTTTCATCAATCTATCCTGGAAAATCCTATTTGTGATTACACAGTGGATCAAACAGAGAGAAATTTCTTTCTATGTGAGAATTATAATTGTGTGTGTGTGTGTGTGTGTGTGTGTGTGTGTGTGTGTGTGTGTGTGCATTGTAGGTTTGATCGTGTTCAAAGACTTGTCTCAACAGAACAATGACACAAAGGAAGTGAAAATTTCTCTAATGGATTAATAAATTAAATAAAGGCAAAGTTTCTGAACTCATTACAAACAAATGATCAACAAAATGATTTTAAACAGTAATTTTCTGCAATTCTTTCTTAGAACATATTTCATCATCATCATCATCATTATTATTAATCAATTTTTGCAAAATTTCAACATTAGCTTAAATCAATGATTCCCAATGTAGGTACCAGTGGGGCATGGTAATATTTTGGTAGAACATGTAGGATGTGCACCCTTCAGCTTACTATACCAACAAAATAAGGGGCAACTCAAGAATGAGTTATTAACAATGAGTTATTTTCTAATGTTAATACATACAATGCATATACAGTATGCATACATAAAAATATTTTGTGTGTATGTAAGTACATATTTTAATTGACATATAGGGTATTTCCTGTCTCCCCACATGCACATGTCTTGGTCAACAAAGGAGAGGGCGTGATGCATGTCACTGGAAGAAGTATATTTTGTCGGCCAATCAGCACATGTGAGCATTCAGTTTGCTTCTCAGTTTGTTTTTGTTTGGTCCGTTTGTCCATCCCAAAATTTTGTTGTTCTGAAATATTTCATGCATTATTATTTCATGATTAAAATGATCAAAAGTATATTACAGAATAAGTTTTCATTCAAATATTTTATATTTCTGCCTTTTTTTCTTCTCTATTATGTTTTTGAAACTATATATATTTAGCTGTCTTTTTTGGTTTTTTATTTTTTTCTTTCATGGATGCCATGGTCTTTAGAGGCTTGATTAGAGTCTAAGTTAATCTTCCTTCATGTTAATTGCAGTAAAATTTTGAATATTTAAGAATTAAATATTACAGGGTGCACCAGAATTTTTGAAATACCAAAAGGGGCTTTGCAAAAAATCAGTTAGGAACAACTGGTGTAAACAATTTCTAATTTTCAAAAAAGAATATCCTGATGAATAGAGTGTGTGCAGAATTAGACCAGAAATAGAATAGTACAGTTTCATTAAAGTCACTTGAACAAGGAATGCCATACTTATGCTCAGAATGATATCAGAAAGAGAAATACAATTGCAAAAATGTGTATACCTATGTTTTTATAGATTATGCAAAAAAGTTTTGACAAGGTACATCACAAAGAACTGTTAGACTTTAATAATAGGTTATCTTGATTATTTGGGAAGGATATTAGAATAAAACTGAATGGATATTAGAATAAAACTGAATGGATATTAGAATAAAACTGAATGGATATTAGAATAAAAAACTGAATGGATATTAGAATAAAACTGAATGGATATTAGAATAAAACTGAATGGATATTAGAATAAAACTGAATGGATATTAGAATAAAAACTGAATGGATATTAGAATAAAACTGAATGGATATTAGAATAAAAACTGAATGGATATTAGAATAAAACTGAATGGATATTAGAATAAAAACTGAATGGATATTAGAATAAAACTGAATGGATATTAGAATAAAACTGAACAGATATGGGGATTAAACTGCCTGCATGCAAATAGAAAATGAATTCAGTAAAGATAGAAAAAAAAACTGCAAGCACTCTTAGATAATGCATAAAGGAAAGCAATATAAGACTAAAGAACTAAAGGACATCAATTGAGAGAATGTATTGCTGTCAGCAAAAGGAAGAGCCAAGATGCAAGCTACCACAGCAGATGTCAAAATCTGTATGTCAGAATGTGAAACCAAAATGCAAAGGCACATTTGAATGATGAAAGATGCCTTTCAAAAGTTAAACAAAGTATTAAGAAATGGGAAAATATCATTAAAAACAAAGGAAAAAGTGCTGAACTGCTATGTAATATCAATTCTCCTATATGGTAGTGAATGTTGGACAATTTCCTTATAGTGAAGAGGAGACAATGTAACAGAGAATGTTATTCTACAGAAGCATGCTGAGAATACCATGGATGAAACATGTAAGCAATGAGGAAGTTTAAATGAGAACAGAAACAAAAACTACACTTATACATAGAATCAGAAGGAGGCTGTTGGAATTTTTCAGACACAAACTGAGGAAAAAAGGTTAGGAGAATTTGACACTTTCCTGCATATTTCTCAAGTTAATCATTTATCTCTCGTGGTTATTTGATTATAAAATCATTTATGTTGATGCTTTTAAGATATTTATTATCAGCTTGTAGTGTGAAATAAAAAGTGAGAGTATTTTTGGTATAAATCTAGTGACAAATGAACAATAATGCAAATGCTTCAGATAATGAGCCACAAATTTAAAACAAAGCAAAATTGATGTTGGTAATGTTTTTAGTGTGTGTGTGTGTGTGTGTGTGTGTGTGATTGATTGAATGGTTGGTTGTTTTAGTGTAGTGGCATATCAACACCTCCATGTGTTATTCAATGCTGAAATGTAAATATTTGATACACAATCTTATTTTATTTTGGAGATAAAAATAGTTTAGTGATACAAGGTTTACTAATTATTTTATCCATTAAATTCAACTAACAAATTTTGTCTCTGCTTATTTTCTTATTGTATTTTTTCAATTTTCTAATAATTGTTGCACATGTGTGGGTGAGTGGTATCAAAACTGGATTAACTTTCCAAAGTTCCTCTCACTGCCTTGTTTTTATTCAAGCAATTTTGGCTGTTGGCCATTGTCAGTTCTCAGTTGAATTTAATCAAATTTGTTTGGATAAATACTTGATGCCAAAACATATCTCTCTATCTATCTCTCTCTCTCTCTCTCTCTATATATATATATATATATATATACACACACACACTAAGGCATAAAGGCTCACAGACACAAGTACATATAGAGTTTCACACATAAATTCAGATATGTGCATAAATGAGTAGCACTATTTTCCATGTTTTTTAGAATATTTCATATATTTCTTATTTTCTATTAATACTTCATTTTTTGAGAAAGTTATTTTTCTATCATTATTCGTCAACACTTCTCAGAAGCATCCCGTGTATCTATCTATCTATCTATCTATCTATCTATCTATCTATCTATCTATCTCCATATATATATATATATATGTGTGTGTGTGTGTGTGTGTGTGTGTGTGTGTGTGTGTGTGTGTGTGTATCGGGGTTAATTAATTTCCTAACTGTTTACTAGGGCACGCTCTCCCTACACTATAAATACTGAGCGATGTCTTGCCTCGTTCTCTTTTTCATTTCTTCATTTTCAGAGAGCACATCTGCAATGTAAGCTCTCACAGAAGATTGCATCTTCCCATTTGTGGAAGACGCCATGAAACAAACACACACATACACGTACGTACGAACATTCATCAAAATACAAACTCTTTACGTTCACGCACAAACACAAATGTTGATGTCTTTGTCCATTGTAAATTTTGTTCTTTAATACATATATTTGTTGATATATATATATATATATATATATATATATATATATATATATATATATATATATATGTATATACATATATATATATATATAAATAAAAAGAAAAGAACAGTAAGATATAAAATCCGGTGTTCTTATAGATATTTTATTTTTACAAAATAGTGCTCAATGTAAATTTACAGAGCATTAATATTATAAATTAATTGATTTAAAATATGGTTATTTTCGCTACACAGTTCCAACCATGTTTCAAAAATAGAAGCTAAAACCCCTAATTTTATTTTTTGCAAATAAATTAAAAGCATTAGTTCTATTTCATCTTCAAGCGAATTTTGGAGTAACTTTTAAAATTTACCGGGTTTTAAATACACAGCTAAAATCACGTTTCCATGGTTACAGAATATTCTACTCAAATTGAACACGGGGTGTCTAGATTTTCCTTATGACAGTATCATTGTATCAGTTATTAGCTACATTTTGGTAAGGGGTGAGGATGTATTTTACACTGAAACCTGACGTCGGTTGAATGGATGTCGTCTGAATTTTAAAAAAAAAAAAAAAAAATTGTTAACGGTAAAAAATTTTCAACGTCATCTTTTAAAATTAAAGATTTTTTTTTACAATACTTTTTATTTAACTACGATTTGAAATATTTTCCTTTTTAATTTTTTATTTTACTATATTCTTTTTAAGAACAGTTAAATGTATTAGAATCCATTATATTATGTAGGATTATTTTAACATTAAGTTTAAGTATGTATATGAGGTTACATTTTTTTTTTTTTTTTTTTTTAAATATATGACTATGACAGCAGAAATGGTTACTTAATTTCACTGATTCAGTAAACTTTTCTTTTATATATAAACCTATTATTATAATATTTTCATGTAAGTACTGAGGACATGGGTCATTCAAAAGCTTACATGTTATGGTATTTCATATTAATTTTATTTTACTATAGGTGTTATTTTTGGATTCTTTTTTAATGCGTGTAGTATTATTTAAAAGAAATTTAGGTTAGAATTCATTCAATTTAACTACAATTTTAATTACAAATTCAAAATTACAACTTTAAAATTTTAAAATATTTTCATTGTTTAGTTTTAATAGACTATATTACTTTATAACAGAAGGAAAATTACTCATATTAAGTAAGATTATTTTCCATATCAAAGTATATGTAAATTTTTTTTTTTTTTTTTTTTTTTTTTTTTTTTTTTCTTTTTTTTAAATTTAAATATTATTTAAGTAATATTAATGGCACTTACTACAAAACTAGCTAAGTCATTTCTCAGATTTAGTAAACTTTATTTATTTATTAATTAATTAATTTATTTATTTCAAATATATGTAACCTAATTAATAAAGTTTCATATGTATGTATAAATAACATGTTAGAATTCATTTTATTTTACTACAATTTTAATTTCAATTTTAAAATTTTAAAATTATAACTTTAAAATTTTAAAATATTTTCATTGTTAGTTTTTAATTTAGACTATATTACTTTATAACAGAAGGATAATTACTCATAGTAAGTAAAATTTTTTTTTTTTTTTTTTTTTTTTTTTTTTTCCTATTCAAAGTATATATAAATTACAATTTTAAACTTTTAATTTAGATATTATTTAAGTAATATTAATGGCCCAGACTACAAAACTATCTAAGTCATTTCTCAGAATTAGTAAACTTTATGTATTAATTCAAGTTTAAGTATGTATATGAGGTTACAAATTTTTTTTTTTTTTTTTTTTTTTTATATATATATATAAACCTAGTGATATAATGTTTCTCATGTAAGTACAAAGGACATGGGTCATTCAAAAAGCTTACATCTTATGGCATTTCATATTAATTTTATTTTACTATTTTTGCTTTTTTTGGGATTCTTTTTTAGTGCGTGTAGTATTATTTAAAAGAAATTTAGGTTAGAATTCATTCAATTTAACTTTAATTTTAGTTTCAATTTTAAAATTACAAACTTTAAACTTTTGAAATATTTTCATTGTTAGTTATATTAGACTATATTACTTTTATAACAGAAGGAATATTACTCATAGTAAGTAAAATTATTTTTTCAATATCCAAGTATATGTAAATTACAATTTTTAAACCTTTATATTTTAAAATATTATTTTAGTAATATTAATGGAACTTACTACAAAATTAGCCAAGTCATTTCTTGGATTTAGTAAACTTTATTTATTACTTAATTTATTTATTTATTTTAAATATATGTAACCTAAGTAAAAAAAGGACATTTCATATGTATGTACCAAGAACAGGTTAGAATTCATTTTATTTAACTACAATTTTAATTACAATTTTAAAATTACCACATTAAAATTTTAAAAATATTTTATTGTTTTTTTTAATTGACTATATTACTTTATAACAGAAGGATAATTACTCATAGTAAGTATAATTATTTTCCATAACAAAGTATATGTAAATTACAATTTTTAAACTATTATATTTAAATATTTAAGTAATATAAATGGCACAGACTACAAAACTATCTAAGTCATTTCTCAGATTTAGTAAACTTTATGTATTAATTAATTAAATTATTTATTTTAAATATATGTAACCTGAGTAATAAAGTTTCATATGTATGTAAAAAAAGAACAATGGGTCATACATTACCTTACATCATCTAGATTTTAGTTATAATTTCATTTTTTCAGGAGGTGTTTTATCGGATTCATTCTTTTGTTTGTAGTACATTTATTATAGAGGTGTTTGGTTAGGATACATTTTATTTAACTACAATTTTTTAAACGGTGTTTATGTTTTAATACCATTTTTAACCACAATTTTTAAATTTTAAATAACAGTTTAAAACATTTTTCCTGCCATTCATAGATTTTTTTTTTTTTTTTTTTTTATATATTATTTAAGGAAAATTTTTGACAAACAGGCAATATAATAGCTATTTCATTTCTATGATTCAGTTATTTTTATTTTTATAAACTTAGTAATATATAGTTATAATATACATATAAGTACTGCCCATTATTTTAATGATTTTTAAAAAAAAAAGCTCTTCTTATTAATTTCCATTTTACTATCAGGTATTTTATTTGATTTTTTTTAGATGCCAAAAATAATTTTTTGAAGAGATGTTCAAATTTTATATTTATTTATTCTAAATGAAGTTTGATGTTTTAATTTATTTTTTGAATTCATATCTAGTGCAACCTATATATATATTTTATGTTATCAGGATTTTCAAAAAAAATATTGCATTTATTAATGATTCAGTGCAGAAAAATTGGGCAATTTGATTTATAATTACATATATTTTTGTTTATTTACATCAGTTTTAATCTTATTTTTTCTAAAAATAAATTTTTTTGGAAATAATTTACACTAATTTTTATTTATGATATTAGCATTATTGGTTGATGATGATTTAATAGTTAGTTTTTTAGTAAATAATTTGAAATAAATTGTTTTATTTAAATAGTATTAGTTTATTACAAAAAATATTTATCATTATATTTAATTTTTTCATTTGGTTAATCTGTTTTGTTAAATGTTTTTTTATATTTTCTAAAAAAAAAATTAAAGTTTAAAAACAAAACTTTTATTTTTATATTAAAATCTTGTGTTTACATATTTTTTAAATATGATAACTGCCTTTAAATTTATTTATTTGATGGATATGTATATATTAAAAAAAATAATTAAAACAATATATTAATAAGTTGTTTCGGCTAATATAATAAAATATGGGTATATTTAATACTTTTATATAAATATATTGATTTAAAAATTTATACGAAATAACATTATATATAATTTATATATATATAACATTGATATATATATAAATATAAATTATATTTATATATATATATCCTAGTAAAATTTTATAAAATTTGTAAATATTTTTATTTATTAATATACAAATTATACACATAAATTTTAAAATATTTATAACATTATTAAATATTATATATTGTTAATATTATAATTATTTTTTAAATATTTTATTTTATTGCAGAATTAATATCATAAGAAGAACCTGTTCAATTTAGTCCATTGTTGGGATCTGATAATGTTTTTTTTTTTTATATTTATTTTTTTCCTTTAATTTTTTTTTCTTTTTATATCTTTATATAAAATTATGTTATTTATATAAAATTTCAAATAAATCTATAGAAATTATTTTTCTTGTTAATTTATCTAGTATGGGAAAATATTCAATATTTAACAAATTTTCCTGTTATTTAAAACAACAAGTTAAAAATATATAAAGATCAACCTTCTATTTTTCTTGGCTTTTTTTTATGAAGACATTGTTTCAAAAATACCAAGATATTTAATTTTATTTTTTTTACTTTCCAGGAAATTTATCTTTATCAAAATTAATTTATTATTTTTTCTTCAAACACAAGGAAAATTTTCAAACATTTTGTACAATAAAAGTTCCAATATAAAAAGTTAAAAGTCCCTTCTGAAAAAAAATTAAAATTATTTTTATTAAAATTTCCAGATTTTTTTTCAATGTTTTACATATATATAAATTATTTATATTTTATGATATTTTAGTATAAATTATATGAATTTATTTTAATTTTTAAAATTGATGATTTATATTTTCATGAGTTATTTTTAAAAAATATATTTGTTATAAAAATTTAAAATATTTTTATT